ACGGTTTTGAAAATATGTCATTTATTAGACGAAGCATAACAAGGGCTTTTACAGTTTCCATTAGCCAAATTAAGAATTTATGTAACAGAGAGAAATGATCACTCACAAATGTCTTTGTTTGCTTAAATTTTGATTGCACAATGTATTCCTAAAGGGTTTCGATATTCACAAGTAAATTTACATAATCATGCCCAGAACACCTTAATTTTAAATTAATACTATCTCCCTAATGAAAATTAATCAAATAAACTACTACAATACTTTATTTGTAACATTTTCGTGTGATTTGCTCGGGTGGCAACCCTGAAATATTAAAAGGTCAGAAAATATTATATATTACAATGATTAAAGTATATACTATTAGGTATATATTAAAGTCAGCAGAAGCATAATTTCGGAGAGGGTTTTCTCTGCGCGTGACGCCATTTCGCAAGTACACAGCCTTGACATAAATTCGGGTTATTGGACTTCTTATAATATGATACTGGGCAAAATATATAACATTTATTTACATATTCTACATTTAAAGCTCTTTTGCTAGTTTTTTTTTGTAATTTTCTCACACTTTTGTGTTTAGAAAATTCCGCAAGTAGGGAAGGAAAACTTTTATTTATCACCGTATCTTTTAAATACGATGAAAATAAAATTAATAATTAACGTACAAACTACTGTGTGGATAAAAACTAGTAATGTATCATTATATTAACGCAAAGAAAAATTAAATACAACGATTAAACAATGGTCGAAATTAAAAACCGAGAGATTCGATGATCTACTAATCGGGAGATGTGATGAAAAACCGCGAGAGCTAGCAGCTGCAGATTTAAATCAAAATTTCGTTTATAAAATAGTGTATTTTAAACCTCAATGCCTAAGGCTCCAGACAGTTTTAATCGGTCTCTGAGTTCAAGCATACTCTTTCCGAAGATAGCAAATCTGAAAATAAGACGGTTTCAGACGACTGGGAAAGGTAATAAGTCATTTTTATGGAAGATTATCTGGCGATGTCTTTCCGATGTTCATTTAATATTACGAACAAACTTACATGCTGGTTCGGTGTGTATTTATGGTGTGTATTTAATTATGGCAAAGCACACTAGGGCTATCTGCCTAAGGGGAGGGATGCCTTTCGTGGAGGACTTTCTAAGGGAAACTGGCTCGTATACACGTTACACATGGGGAAAACCACGAAAACGCCCATGCAGCCAGCCCGTTCGCGGGATTCGAACCTCGGACCGAACTACCAGTGTTCAGCGTCTTTACCGCTCGGCCGCTGGTGGGCGCATATGCTGGTTCGGAGAAACAGTCATTACGATGTACTGCACTTTAATATTATTATTGAAAGAGCTTATTTTGACGGTACCAGATTTTAATCTACACCGTTTGAATTAAATATTTAAAATGTACGTGGAGGGGGAACTAAGATACAAAAAAAAGTACTTTCTAAAATCGGTAAAGCAATGATATAATATTTTTGCTCTCGCTCTATAAGCAGTCAGTTTATGCAAAATATGTATTCAAAATACTATTCTGTACAAAGCGTGCATATACATAATCAGAGAAATACTTCAAAAGCTCGGCATAACTCATTCTCGGAAAGATTACTGAACTCTACGAAATTCTGTATTTTTGTAATTTATACGATGATTGCTATCATCATCTTCTGAAAACTGTATACGAACTTCATATTCTGTTTACATCTGTCATCTGCTCATGGCAGTAAGCAGAGTTCGTTACGTGTACGGAAATTATTTAGCTCATTTTCCTTTTTGTGTCCTTTCCCTTTCTCCTTGAGATGGTTGGAAAGATGCTAGCTTCCTTATCGTTCATTCTTTTTGAAGCAGAAAATTAAAATTTAGAAGTTAAACTTTGTCTCTGTTGCACTGTGTTACTCCTGCAGTCTACGATTTTTATATGTCAAGCTTTATGTGCACTGCATTCTCTTCGTAAGTAATATAACTTAAAAGACTTTCCTAAGCAATAATTTTCCGCCTAAGACGAGATATGAACGATTCTCTCAGCATGTGAGTTGTTCACTTCCACGCCTATCGAATTAATTTCCACTTTTCGTTGCCCTGCGTTGGCAACACGCTTTTGAGATTTGTCGTCGAAAGAATTCGGTCGCTAGGAAACGTAGCTGACCTGTAACTGTTGTAATTCTTATATAAAAGCTTATCTGTATTGCTGAATTATTACTAAATGTTTACGTGTAAATGTTATTTTATTAAATGTATGCAGTTTGGTTTGAATAGAATGAGAGTGCCTGGATTTATTAAGGATATTTAAAATCGAAAGTACTTCATTCATTTCGGCGCCTTTCTAACACAGGAACGTAAACAGAAATATTGTACCAAATGAGAGAATAAATCAAAGCCTCTTTTTCAATCTAGTCACCGGCAATCGCTTTGCGAAATAAAACAAAACCAGAACTTCAAATTTAATTTGACGATTCCAAAAGTTACATTTTGGTTAAAATTTACTTCTTGAATAAGGAAATTTAGGAATGAAATCTTTTGGTAGACACAACACAGAATATCTTAAAAATAAATCTCTTTTCATTGCAAATTTTAAGAATTGAGGCGAGGGGAATGGAAAACCTTTTCATTCAAATAAACTGTTTTAACAAATAATCCAAAAAGTCATGAATTGTAAGCGAAGAGAAGACTCACAGTTCAATCGCACAAATGTGACGTGTCTTAATCATAACATTACTCAAACTTAGAGTGATTTTCTAACACATGTTTTAATTTTCTTTGTCCCATAGCCTTGTGCACTTTACACCTGGCTTTCAAATGCAAACTAAAGATTTTCAAATCTCCAGTCAACAAAGTATATTTCCAATTTTCAGAATAGAATAATACAGATTTCATGCCATTGTGTCTGCATTACCTGTTTAGTTTTTCAACTACGAAGTATAAAATGAAAGAAACAAAGATTTAAATCAGTGAATTATTTAAGCAATGAATCTAGTATTGAATCTAACTAGTACTAACTAGTTATGAATCTAACTAGTACTGAATGAGACAGTTATATCCATTTCCTGAAACAAAAATCATGCAAAGCACATTTAAAAATTTAAAAACAGCTTTAATATTGTTAAAGTGCTTGCTACCAATCTACGCGAATATCCCTGCCCGGCTTTAATTGGAAGCCTAGACCTTAGAATTAGGGCTTTCGACATTTAAGCTGTAGAGATAAGATTTGAACTGAAAGGACTCATCAGCTCACTATAAAATGATACCGTGAAGTTCCGGAAATCCAATCTGATGGAAGTAATAGACTCGTACGATTCCCAGTTAGGAACAAATGAGCATTGAAATTTCAAGTAGGCACTTTATATTACCTATTTTATTTACATAATCAATATCCAAAAGAAGAACACGTGATATATTTTTTTAATAGTAGATATTTTAAGGAGGTATGCATTTAACTGTTTTAATACTTGTAGCAAATATATTGTATTAAATAATACATCATATATTATAAGATGATTTACATCAAACGAAAGTTCCTGCAAGAAACTTAAAATCCAATATAAAATGGTTTGTATATTTAAAACACAAATGCAAATCCGAATTTCAGAACAGAGAGTACCTAAAAAAGTAATATTCTACATTCACGTGCATGTTTGCTTTTCAAATAGTTTTCTACAATCATACTCAGAGTCGTTGAACAGTTAAATCAAACGTTGCCGCGCAGTTTGTATCTCCATGAGAATACTTTTGGGTAGTGCTTGGACTATGTATGAAAATGTACTATACAAGTAAATGTAAATAGACATTTAACAGGCATGTCTGTAATTCAATAGACACATCTGTCTAGCCTCGTAATAGTAGCATCTGTCTAGCCTCGTAATAGTAGCTACTGCAGCATACGAACCCGAAACATCGACTGATAAAATTTTAAACTAATCTTATAATTAGGATAATTATTTTAAGGAATAAAACTTTAGGTGAGCGTAAATAACCTCAAAAGGGATATGATGGATATAAAGTTTTAAAAGGTTTATTTGTTTTATTTTTAAATATTTTTATGCAATATGCAATTCATTAACACAAAACTTCTAAAATTCCTAGTTAATAAAATTCCAGCAAATACTTCCTCAGAATGATAGCACAGTATAGGCAGTTTACGCTTTTGCTATCAGAAAATATTTAGAGATACCTTAAAGCAATAGAAGATCATTTTATATCAGAAAAAGTGTTCTTCCCCTCAAAATGCATAAAATAAAGCACCATACGTCTATAACATATCTACATCAAATGTATGTCTTCATTACACATATGTAGTTAAAATGCTGCATTTTAGAAGTCTAAAATTAATCTAATATAGAAAAAGTAAACATTTTATAGCAATCTTTTCACTGGGCCATAAAATATCAAATTAGGAAATTTCGAGGGGAGGGGACATGAAAAGCGCTTATATGAATTTTCTTCAACATTAATCAATAATGAAATAAATGAAACCATGAATTTCAGATTTTTCTAATAAAGTATAAATCAGCAAATTTTCAAGGGCGCCGACAGGAGTTTTCATGCTTGGTACCTGACTCTATACTTGGCTGCAGTAAATTAAGTATATCAGTTAAAAAAGCAGGAAAAAAAAAAAAAAAAAAAAAAAAAAAGAGGGGGGGACTTCAGTTTGGCTTTGCTTCTGACTAATGACCAAGAGGGACTTGGGTCTGATCATCTTCAAAATCGCTAGAGTTTTTATTCAAAATCGATGCTAAACTATAATATTTGCTCTTATTTTGTTCTTTTGCCTACTTTTGCACTGGCGTGTTTCGCTTTCAGTGTTAAGCAAATCAGTATTAATTAATGAATTGAAAGAATGATTGGTAAAACTTTCGTTCTTATTTATTGACATTAATTAAACTTTTTATAGTGTCCGATATCACTAACACAGGAAAATAGCCCATATAATTCGACACAGTTTGGAAAAAGTCCTGACAGCGCCCAGTATTAGAATAATAAAACAGTTTGGCAATAAAAACTTCTTACCTATCTTGAGCGTTGTTCTGGTTGTACTTGGCAGCGAGAGACCTCATGAAGTCACTATAGTTCCGAGTCATCATTTCCATCTGCTTGATAGCCGGATTGCCAGTAGCCGGAGAAAAGCCTCCCGGCGGGGGAGAGAAGGGGGCTGCTGTGTTGACTCGAAGTCCGGCAAGGTTGAAACCGGGTACCAGAAGGGCCGGGAAGGCCCGCGCAGGGCTCGGAGAGTGCGGCGAGATGGACGGTGAGGAAGAAGATTCCGGCTCCGGAGTTCCCCTTTCAGTTTTCGGCGCGGCGTTGTTATTATGTCCGGCGGCGGACGAAGTAGCTGCCAGGGCGTCCGTCGGCATCTCGCAGTGGCTCAAAGAGGCGCGTGCGGAGCTTGGCTGTTGACCCCTGGATGAGGCACCGCCCTCGGGGTGGCAGCTGACGGTTACTAGGCCGTCCCTAGGCACCTCCTTATCTGAAACCACATCAACCATAAAAGAGAGAAAATTAGCAGACCTCGCATTGCAAGAACCAGAACTCTTTTTTTTTTTTCCCTGATCCTAATATCAGGGATATTTCAAAGCCGCATGTGAGGTGCGCCCGCGGACCAAATAAAAGTCATTCGTAAAGGGTCAAGGTCTCCCTTCCAAAACATCGAAGAGATGTTGCAGCGGTTCGGCTGCGAATGAGTGGCGGCTCTAGCCTGCCCTTACTCCACTCGGTTTCATTGAAGGGTTGCTTTCTCGCCAACTGCTCTCGCCAAGCTATAGCGCCAAAATATTCCTTCGGGTGTTTGGACATGGCGAGTGGGACAGGACGCGCGGAGACTCGTTTTCCTATTCATATGCTAATTGCCTTCACGCATTTTAGTTATTAAAATGTGAATTCAGTGCTCTCATTTTTTCCGGGTGATAAATTAGCCTAGAACATTGGTAACAAATGTTTTCATAAAAAACATAGATATCATTTTAATTAACGAACTCAATTTATTTAAGAAAAAAGCTCAAATTTTCTCGAAATTTTATTAAAAAATATTTAAAACACTTTCAAGAAGTGTTATTATTATTATTTCACAATTAGCATTAAAATTCTGTTCGTTATAAATAAAGATCAGAAATACGAAGAGTCTTTTCTACCAACAACGATTCATAACATCTTTTATTTACCTTCGCTATTAAAAAAATACATTTCTCATCAGCGTAAGAAAGGGCAAATCATTCAGAAGGTTTTTTTTATGGTACTAATAACAGTTTGCAATGAGTATTATTTTGTACTGCAATTGTTAAAATTATAAAAAAATTTGCTTTTGTTAGAATTAAAACTCCTCTCTTAACAAAGTAAAAGTGAAAGAGTAATAATATTGCTTTCCTGTTCATATCTTTATTTTCACTTCATGTGTTCTTTTACTAAAAGTTTGTTTTCTTTTTGTATAATTTTAACAAAAGCAAAATGTTTTTATAATTTCAACAATTGCAATATCATTATTTCATATTCTTTTGCTATATTTCTTTGGCTTCTTTAGATATAAATTATATATATATTTACTAAAGAAATATTGACTATATTCGTATTTATTTCTTAATTATTGTTCATTGAACGGGAGTTGGTTTGTTCCCCTTGAAAATTCAACTAATTTTCGATCAATGGCAATGATTACTTGCTTTTAATTTAATTACTTGCTTTTAATTTATTTCTTTTTACAATTGAAATTTTGTTATTCGTGATTTAATTCAAGTCCCCATTAAACATTTTTAACAATTTACATTCAATTTACTTTAAAACAATTTTCGGAATTGAATTTACTAACTATGGATTCACTCTTTTAAGATAATTCCACTAAAATTAATCTTAGGAGATAATATAATCAATATTTCTTTAGTAAATAAATTATTAGTAACTTACTTTGCAGCAATTGCGCAAGTAGTAGAATAACTCGATTTCGCACTAAGTGAATTTAAGACCATAGAACATTTGATATATATATATATATATACATATATAATTAAATTAAATTATAACTACCAGGATAATAAAAATTGGAAAGCTAATAAAGTTGTAAGAAATTAAACTACTTTGAGCAAAAAGAAGGTAAAGTGCTTAAAGCTTATAGGGAAAAAAATACTTGGTATTACATGTAAACTCATTAAAATTTAAAAAAAAAAAAAAAAAAAAAAAAAAAAAAAAAAAAACTGAATTATAGTTTTGTAAGTCCATTTTAATAATTTTTTATAACTTTGTTATATATGTATATACAAACCGTAATGTACCCTTTTTAATATTTCGATATTTTTCTTTTCATACTATGTTTGAAAAAGAAATGCAGAAATAAATTAAAATTATTTTGAGACTAAATTTTAGTTTTATTCAACAGTAAAAATTCAGTTCTATGAATTGGAAATAGCACTTTTTTTGTTCTAGTTTAAGAAGCAAAGAGGCATATTCAAAAGATTTTTTTACATTTATTTTTTCTACTTTGTAATCTTTGTAATTTTTTTTTAAATTTGGAAAGGTAAGCTATTCTCTGAGGGATTATACATCAATAGAAAGTAATAGTAAATAATGTTTCAACATATATATTAATTGCATTTGATTTTAAATTAGAGCAGCCAAAAATATTGATGAAATATTTTCATTGTGACGTTAAGCTACGAAGATTTTGATATTACGTTTGGTGTAACTGCCTAGAAAAGAACTGAAACAACTTACTATTAGCATGCGAGCAAGCTAAAGAGATAATTAAGACGATTGTTAATCATGAAAGAATATTTCAACATCAGCAATAATAAAATAACAGTAAGCAATCGAATCTGTTTATAATGAATGCTAGACCACTGATAAATTGTCTTCAATCTAAGCATTACTTATTAGATGTGATTTACATTTTCTCCTTTTTTTAATTTCTTAATGGTACGAGTTTACATAGGAAATAATAATCAAAATAAATAATAATTTCCTACTAAAATATTTTGATTTTAATATTTTTCTATAAAGCACAGGGCACTTAATATTACACGCAGTTGCTTGTCCTAAATTTTGAAATTAGTAGGAATCAAAATTAATTTTTCCGCAACTGCAGATAAAGTTAATTAATTATAAAGATGGCATAACTTAACCTTTTTGTTTCAGAAACTTAAAACCAGTGTTTATTTTCAACGCTTTCGTGTTAACTTTTGTAAACGTTTTTGTAAAGCGCATTCCCTTAAAACTTTCAAAAATTGTTAACAATATGTCTATCATACCTTAAATTCTTCAGACTATCGCTGGCGAATCACAGTCGTCACATATATGCTTCTTTTATATTCGCATTAATATTAAATTTTGCTCTAGGGCTCACAGTACGTTTATTATAAAAAGAGCAATATCTATTCAAATACGTCAAATTAAAATCATTATGAATTTGTTGCTCATTACCTCGTTATTTTTATGCTGAATAAAGCTAGTTTGACTATATTGCGAATGCGTGGATGCCCATGTAATAATAAACGATTTTAACATTAAATAAAACAACATAGTGTTGATATCAGTTCTTTTGTTTTTTAATAATTCAAAACATAAACATGCAAACACGTATGATAAGCCTAGTACTGATGGTGAGTTTTTAAAAATTTTGATTCGCAGAATACTAATCCGTAACTGAAATCAATCGGTATACTTGAAATTCTCTAAGCTGAAGGGTCGTTTAATGATCCAGGATCTCAATTATGAGGAATTCTGTGAAAAAGAAGTAAAGAGTATTTTGGTACGCGTTACAAACTGGAGCAGAACACATTTCAATCTAACCGGAGGCCATCGTCAACTTGGGACTTCTTTCCAACAAGTCCAGCGGTGTATCGCCAATCGTTGGTGACCCGCGACGGCTTGAACCGTTTCCGTAAAACGTCATACTCCCATCATCCTTCCTCTTATGATCGCAAACTGTAGTTTAATTACAGAATCACGCTTCATCGTTTTCCTGCGATACCATATTCATTGGGCGGGGCTATCCCTTAAAAAAAAGTACACCTTCAAGCATTTAAATCTACTTTAACCTTTTCGGCAGACTAAATCTGGTCAGCTGTATGCACGCATTTTCGTCATGCCTTCTTCACTCCGCGTGCATATGCAAGTGAACTATAAATATATACAAATCATATCAGCGAAACGCATATTTGTAGATGATTTTACACGCAAGTCTGGTGGGTTTACAGGTTTCTAAACTCCGCAGTTTTCTCTGATTAAGTAATTTTTTAGTATCCGAAAATTTAATTAAGTTTCACGCAAATAGTTAAGCACATTTTTATAGTAGAGTTCCTGAAATAACTTTAGCAATTTAAGTAAAATGTCTATAAAGTATACTTGAACTAGTTATGTTATGTTTAGGAAATTTAATATAATAACCGAGTAATTAATATAAATAAGAGTAGTGAAATTCGGTGAAGAGGAGAAATTTTGAAGTCCAGCTTCTTCCTTAACTCTAATATGCATTTTCTGACATCTGCTAGAGAAATTAACGAGAATTTTGGTTTAAAATTTGTGTTTATAAATGTAAAAATTAAACGAGGCATTACATTAATTCAGTAATATTAGTAAATACGGACTTTAAATCTAAGCAATTACTTTTCCTCTTAGGAAAACGAGACTCCCTAACTCAATTGCTGAGGGTACTTCAGCCGAAATTGGGATCAAATTCACGCAGGTAACCTTAGTGTGCTCTGTCTTATTTAAATACATAATCTTCTTCCCCTTTTTAAAATTATTTGGGAAATTATTAATGAAAAAATATAAAGTGATATATTATTTTGTGACTAAAGGCAAACTATTAATTTAAAGGTACAATTTCAGTACGCATTTTCAATCAAACGTATTTCAAAATACTTTCATACGACTAATTTTACTTATTTTACTGCTTTATAAAAACAAAATGAAATTAAGACAAATAAAAAAAAAAATTTTATTTATTTATTTATTTATTTGAATACTCTACTAAAATACTGAAAACTGGATAGTCACTGACATTCTACAAAATCATAAAAAGAATACTATCTAGTCCCTCATTAGGCCATTACTGGTGAGGCCATTAAGCCTCACCAGTAGCCGAATGGTCAAGACCATCGAATACTTGGAGATCGACAGGTACAAGCTATTCCACCACCTCTGTAGTAACATAGGTGACTGAGGTATTGCTGATTGTTCGGGCTGTTTGCACGGTTGATTTTCGTGGTTTTTTCCGATGTGAACGTGAATACGAGACAGTTTTCTTTAGAAAGGTCCTCCCCAAAGGCACTCATCACCTTAGGCAATGAGTAACGTGAGTGCTTTGCAATATTCAAATAGCCTAACCTAACCGAGCCCCTAATTAAAGAAGGAATCCAAAAATGCGTTCAGGTAAGATACCCTCCATTTCACTGATCCGCCACTGCTAACAAATGGCAGATAAGTTCATAATTTGCGGAGCACTAACAAGTACTTTCATAAAAAGTTACACAGTGTTATTTATCGATATGGTTCCGGAATTTTCAATTTATATGATTAATTATTTAAACAAAAATACCTAATTTTAATTTAATTTTTATTACCATATGTAATAAATATGTCTTTCAGGTTGGTTATTAACATGTGCATAAAATTGTTATGCGTATTTCCAGAAGATAACAGGCACAATTAAACAAAATGCAGTTCATCAGTTTAATTAGG